TCAGCATTTTGCACTCACATTCATCTCCTCCAAAACTTCTTGTAGTTCTTCTGAGTCGGCGCCAGTTAGTGCAGCACCTATAATAATAGACACATAGTAACAAGACGAATATACCGTATATGCACAGTTAGAAGCACATTTCTAATAGAAGTACACATCAAAAAATAGCATTAATTGAATGCTGGATCAAGAAAATATAACTTATTTTGAGCATAGACATACATCTGTCATTTACTAATAGTGCTACTAATAGAGCAAATACAGTATGCTGACATTGACCATTGTTGGACTTCTGTGTTATTGTACTGTTTAATACTGCATTACTTTAACCAATGCTCATACAAGTCTATTTTTTTACTACTACTTCTAGGCTCAAAGACCTGAGTTTGAATTAAATTCATGTAAATTCCGTTAACTTTGGGCCAGTTTTATTCAAAAACAATGGACCAATAATTAGAGATTATAAAATAAATTTAAAAAACATCATATTTTACTAAAAATGAAACAGAAATTGGAGAAATTTTGATCGAAAAGTTTGGATAGGAAAACAATCTAGCTATAAATATTGAAAAGAAAAAGTAGAGTTCAATGTAACATGGACAAACATGTTGTCTCACCCCAAAACATTCATATCCGGAATAGCCTATGGTTGTGCTTGTCAAAATGTATTGTTCTGCCTGACTTAGATACAGACAAGATTTTAAAAATACAAATCTCAACAAAAAATTAACAAAATTTTGGGTGTGATTCATTGTTACTTAATCAAAATTCAGAAAGGTTGGGAAGGAATAAAACACTTGCCTAAGTCGCTCAGATATACCGGGTTGTCAACCACTCTCCCTGCTTGTATCATGGAAGCAACCGACTCTCTATCAAAAAATGAAAACAGTTCTGTTCATTAATAAGATAATATTGAATATTAAACACGATTTACTAATTAAAACAAAATTTGAATATAATCAAATGACTTATCTCAAAGTAACTTTCTCTAAACTACATGTATTGGTAAAACTAATGATAAAACTGAATTAAGAAACTAAATACCAATGAGATGGAGAGAAGTATTCATCTTCACAGAATTTTTTTCATATTTTTCAACTAATATATATATATATATATGTTTATCACATCACTTGTCTGTAGTGAACAGAAATATCAGCTAAAGCAAAGTTTCCATAGCAATAGGTTTGGAAAGTGGGTTCATATAACAAGAAAGTCCAATATTGCCATACTTACCTATACAGTGGATTCAGCGAGATAATATCACGAATTGTTTTCACAACTTCAGCGGTTAATGCCTAATAAGAGTTTTAGAATTTACTGTTATCCAGTGTTACAAGTAGTGCTACAAGCAATACATTGGATTTCCAAAAGGGAGATCTAATTATGGGTGTGGTTGGGAAGCACAGACAGAAATCACAGGAAAAACAATATTTTAGACAGCAATTTTTTTTTTCTAAAAAGTTTAAAAAACAAATTCATTAGAGATTATTGATATATTTATTATAATGATATAAATATGCAAAAACCAAAAGCAGTGAGATTGTATCAATAAAAAAAAACTACCTTCACTTCATCTGTACTTTTGTATTCATCATGGCGTAGATTTTCAACATCCACCATCACGACCAGATTTTTATTGGATTCTGGAGACGATGTTGGTTTCAACAGTTCTTGTGTGAGGTTCTCTTCTTTTTCCTTTATTTTTAATGGCGCTAATACTTCTGCACTGTCAAGAACATTGGTGATTCTTATCCTGGGACGAAAACAGTTGACAAAATTGTATAAACAGAGTACCAAGTAAATGGAATATATTATATGATGATATCGATAAAAACATAACACATAGTAAAGAAAAAATTATTTAAAAAATATTTTTTTTCAGCTTATTGTAGAATCCTTTATATTCACTTACATTCCCTATATTTACTGAAGAGATACATCTTTCTTTTGTAAATCAGCAAAAATATCATTTCCTCAATGGTTTGCATCTAATAATCACAACATTCACAATGCAAGTTTCATCACTGTTCCACTTTGAACACAAAAGTTGATTTTGGCAACAATCATACAAATTTACCACATCTTTTTTCCCCCCGATTTTTTTCAAAAATTATGATTAAAATCAGTAACCAATTAGAAATTCATTTGGTTTATAATTTACAAAAACAAGCAGCCTGTTGGCTGTGATAGCTCCGCTGTTAGCAATGCACATTAGAAAATGAACAATATGTATACATGTAGTATTAAAGCAATCAGACTTGTGGGTTTTAAACAAGAAGTTGAAAATATCACTTTTTACCAAAAATGACAAAAATATTCATAAAATTAGAGAATTGAAGATATCATCATGAAATGAACAAATCTGAGAGAGGTCCACATGTAGTACCTATATATGTAATATCAAAGCAATCGAACTTGCAGTTTTTAACAAGCAAGTCAAAAATATCACTTTTTACCAAAAATTACAAAAATATTCACCAAAAAAATAGAATTTGAAGATTTTTAAATGAAATTAACAAATCTGAGAAAGAACCATCCAAGGTACTTGCATATCAAATTTGAAAACATTCTGACTTGGGGTTTCGAAGAAGAAGTTGAAATTGTAAAGTTTACGACGACACAGACAATCAGCAATATGAACAGCTCTGCTGTGTAGACAGCAAAGCTAAAAAACAGTTAAAATACACAAAAATGTTGTTATGTTGCTACAACATTTTGATGAGGAAAAAAAGCAGCCTGACTTTTGTGAAACTTGGTTCTCACAATTGCACTCAAATAACCTAATCGCATAAATTGAACACTTTAATGTACAATATTTGTATACTGTAGAATACTTTATTTTAGCTGAGATTAATTTTCGCTGAAAGGGCTTTTTGGGTGTTTTGTTTGGAAATTATTTTTTTGACAAGTTGAATGTGAAATTTAGAAGAAAAAAAAGTATATTCGATGGATTTTATTTTCACTGAAGCATCTTTTCAGCGAAAATAAATTCCAAGCGAAAATAAAGTAATCTACAGTAAACTAAACACGCATGCAATCATGTAAATGATAGAGGTTTGGCTATGGACAAAATATGTCACATTTATCACCGCTCTCCCTTGCAGAGTATTCGTGATCTAGGGAGCCACAGAGAGCCACAACTAGTGGGACGTTTCCTGATGACTACCTAGCTTAGTGATAAAAGACCCATATTCTCTGCGAAGGAGAATGATTTATCACTACATGATGAATGCATTTAAGGTAGAGATGCAGTTTATTTGTGAATTTCAATCAAAAATAGTTTTTTTCGTTTTTTATATAGATTTTTATCTAAAGAACATTCTGTGAAAATTTGACCAATGAATTCTTATTGGAACACCATTAAAATTGCTGTTTATTTTCTGGTTAAAAATAAAAAACACTCACACGTGGCAATGTTTATGTCCAATTGCCTAATTTGCATGTGTAAGCAAACAACAGGACCTTTGATTGACAATATGCATATCGAGATTGTACGGGTCATAGTCATTCAATTCACGCTGA